AGATCCTTGCAGCCAGTGTATATAGTTCTTAAATGTCTTAGAGACTGGGGTCACAGTTTTCTAGAGCCTAGCGGTCCCTGTAACAGAGCATGGTTTTGTCCATTTAAGACAAGGTCTACACTTCACCATGAAAAAGGATGGTTACGCTTCATAGCCAGGTGCCTGTCTGTGTTTACGTGGACGAAGCGCGCGCTAGAATCAAATACAGCGCCAGAGAAGGAGTGTTTTGATTGATCTTGTGTTTTACAATCCAGGCTATTGAATACAGCAAGTAATTAATTTCCAGAATTACATCCCTAGGTGTAATCAAATTGGCAGGATTATTGAATGGTCTTACGACATGATAAAAATGGTCCGTAATTACAAACGTTATTAGGCAGATTTATTACTTTTGACAGACTTCTAATTGCTTTTATTAGACATGATAATCATAGAAGTGCGAACATCAGCACGCGACAGGAACGCGACTCGTGCTGTACACCTTCTCGCTATGCAGCATCATGAGCACCAGGGGAATGACGTCAATGCCCAGTCTCCCTGGGCACGTTCCATTGATCAAACCATCGCTTTGGCCATTTTAAGTCAGACACTGCACGGAAAGGCCCGTTTCCCCAACAAAGAGGGCAAATATTCTCGTGGGCAGTATCAATATATCTTTCCAAACACATGAATAAAAGAGCAGATGTGATTAAACTGATTATCATAAGATAAAGTCTAAGTTACTATGACTAGTGATCTCTCATGTGCTCAACAATAAGATTTTGAAATTTTATGTTTTTGGGTCTGATCAACACTTATTGGCTGGTATCTGTGGGTCTGTAAATTTTTTTCTCGGTTATTTTGGGTGGATTTTGATAATTGCGGATGGACCTCCCCGTATATAAAAAGTTTGAGTAACTCCCCATGACGGCACTGGCATTGTTTCTCTTTGTGCGGCTTAAGAATTAGATTTTTAAAGATGAAGTGATTAAATAACAACAGCAATGATTTGCTCCCAGACCCTTTTCCAAGGGGGTGTGATTTAAAAATAATGTAACAAAATTAATTACAGTAGGCGTAACAACGTCCAATTCAGGCTAATGCAAGCCTAATTTAAAGGCAATTCAAAAATATATAGCTGCAATTGTTACTTTTACCACAGCAAAACTAATCGCTATCAAAAGATTAGCATTTTTTATATGAGTTGAAAGTATTAAAAAATTCAGTGGGGTAATATATTTTTGGGGGTAGGAGGAGGAAAGAATGTAAACCAAGAAGCAAGGAATAGGGTGCCTCGTACAATGATCTCCAGTTTGTCAATCAATTGAAAAGAAGGCTGACACGGAACAGAGACTATGGGATGCTTTCCAGCCAGGGTCATCTCAGTCTTCTCTCCAAATACAATACGAAAAATCACTCACGCTTCTGCAGAATTCAATAAAGATGTTTACTTGCACTCTTGGAAGATGGACATGGAGGAAAGGCTCCTCCTCTTCTCTGTTCACCCCCGAATCAAACTCACGTCCTCCTACCCCCCCCCCCTTCCTGCCAGGTAGCCCTGTAATACTCCTACTAAAGATTATTGAAAGCGATCTCATATTTGAAAGAAGCAAGCGACCTGAAGTGATCTTATAGAAAACTTTCATTGAACATCTTTCGAGGCGGAGATTTGTTTCAAGACTTTCTGCAACGAGATTACTTTTTTTTGAATAACTTATATTCTATTTTGATAGGCGAAAAATCAAAAGAATCCTTGCTAACGCTTCAATCAATGCCCTGCCTCAACATATTGGCTCGAAATAGCTAATTGAATCGCAGTTAATAATAGAAAGCAGCTGATTAATCGAGCAAATCCTGTTTCATTTAATCGCAATTTTCGACCGAGAACACCTGCTTCAGTCGGAGATGGGCCTAAATAATTCGGCTTATTGTTCTTTGGCGACCAATGTATGAGAATTTTTTAAAACAAAACGCCTAAAAGAACCGATAAGCCACCTTCTATTGTTATCAATACTTGTCACGAAAAACTTAACTGGTATAAACCGTTTTCTTTATCTTTCAAATTGGTAATTCTATTTCTAAGCTTTCAGTGAGATTACAAAAATTAGTTGCAGCTTGGGCAGGCATAAAACATCACAGTAATTAGCTGTTCCAGCTTGAAACTTCAGGAACGACAGATAAAAATGGCTTTGGGTACCATTTCTGATAATAACAGAATACTCTTTTCCTTTTTATTATATCAACATTTTTTTTCTCGCCCACACCATTTCTGAAAGGTTCTTTATCGGCCTTGAAATGGCATAGAAGCATGTAACTTGATCTGGGAAGGCAACAGCCCAATGTCATACGATATTAAAAGGCAACAAAGAAACAAACAATGAGAAACACCAACCAGCACTGAAGATTATATTTTTTAAAGGTGATATTTTTCAGCTATGTGAATCCAATTTTTTGTTTTGTAACATTTGCTAGATAGCATTGTTCATGTTTACATAATGCCTCTTGCAAACATAAATTTCAAAGGGTTTTTTTCAAAAAAATTATTAACACTAACAACAATAATGTTTTGTCAAATCTCAATTTTGGAGCAGTTACTATAACATTAGCTTTGGTTCCAGAGCGTTCAAGTGGGGATCTCCTCCGCACTCTCCCACAACGCCACCTTTCCTAACCCCGACTTGACGCTCTGGAACCAGGGTACTATATCATAAACATAGAATTGCCAGGAAAGACATTTAGTGAATTTTAGTACCACAGGATAATTTTTTATGAATTTCATTGTCTAGAATGCCTTTCAGAAGTCTTGAAACACTTGCTATGGATGTACCTTTCTATGGATGTACCTTTTCATTTGGAAAGAAAAATGAAAACTTGAAAGTTCCTTGCATATTTCGGCAGCCATTGTCTAGATGGATCATGAATTCCGTCTACAGAAATTTCTTCTAAAATTAGGCCCTTTTAACACAAGAACTTTTAAATCGCATTCATTCATCCATTATCAGTTACGGCCTCAAAAAATGATTTACGCAGCATAATTTGCAAAATTTTGTGCTAAAAATGTAGCCCACTGACTTTTTTAAAAGGAAATTTGCTTTTCCCCCAGGATTGAACATCAAAGAAAGCACCAGTGTTTAACTCCTTGCCAACGGAATAACTGTGGCTGCTCAGGCCTTGTGGATTTTTACGCTTGGGCCACCACTATATTTGCCGTTAAACAGTTGTAAGCCATAAATTCCGTTAGTGTATACTGTATTAGAAATATTAACTTATAGACAATTAGCTTAACTAATTTATTGTCAATGTATTAAGGACGGTCGATTAAGAGAAGTCTCGCCCGAAATTGCATGGGGACAGTGCCGTCGGAACGAAATTCATATCGAAATCCATTGTATTGCACCCCATTCAGCACACTGTTATTAAGGAAATAACTACAGTTTGACAATTATTGGGCGGGCTACAGCCCCCCAGCCCAGCCCCCCAGCCCTCCCAGCCCCATCCCTCCAGCCCCACCCTGCTTCTGACGGCCCTGTTGGGAGGCTTAGTGACAACTTACCCTCGAGTCTAGGCGTGCAGTGTTATGACAGCAAGGGTTACTTTTCGGCATTATCAAGGAGGGCCGAGTACCCAGATCCCCCTAGCCTGCGTCACAGACCATCGCCACCAAGGAGAAGAGTCCCCTAGCTCTCCTCCTTGGTGGTGATGGTCTGTGACGCAGGCTAGAGCCCCCCTAGCTCTACACCCTTGAGACTTGCTTGATGAGGCCAATCATAATAGTTGCATAACATATGATCCTCGGAGATTGTGTCTCAGAGGACTGGATCTAGTGTATTCAGTTACCGGCCAGCTGTCTAGTCTTACGAACAAAGACTTCGAGAAGGTCAAACTGTTTAATGCAATGAACTAAAAATTCCTTGTTGCTATTTGCAAGAATGCTCTTATGTTGTCTTGTAAAGTTTATACAGCAGGCTGTTCGTCAGTCAGTAGCACGAGGGCAATTATCCTCCTCTCTGTCTTTATGAAGAAACAAATCTGCGTCTTTAATTTAGTGTCAACAAATATCCCAGCCAGGTTATTTTTAGCAATAGTACTTGGGCACGAAATATTTTCGGAATCAAAACCAACTATTTTAATTTGAATAGAGAGAAGCAACTCAAAGAAGAGACGCGGCACATTCTACTGAGAGTTTGTCCATTGTAATTTTGTTTCTGCTCGGCGGAGGGGGATCGTCAAGTTTGTCTGAAGATATGTAATCAGCCCCTTCTAAACATCAATTCAAAAAATTTCGTTATTGGCCATAGTAAAATTGACACACTTTAACTCTGAAGAAACTCATTGCCTTTGGAATTTCAAGTAGTTTCACAAGAAAAAAATGAAGCCACTGGAGTTTTGAAAAGTTTTCAGACTTTTCAGTGACACTTTTTCTATTCTAGTAGGGTAGCGTATAATTTCTAGCCTCGTCTTTTGACCCGCAATGCACTTAAATCATCGAACGACGTCACAATTTTGCCCTCTATGGTTATCCTCGCATATTGCGTGCAAGCTAATGATAAACATACCCAGGTCGCATGGATTGAGCAAATATCCACATAATGCAGAGTAGGAATGCATCGTCTAAAGTTCTCCAAATGATTTTTGAATATTTCATAACACTAGCAGTAAAGATGGTATCTCTGAAAAAATTTCTTTACAAGACCACCCCCCCCCCTCCATTTATCTCTCTCTCGACGACTTGTACGACATCCTTTTCTAACAAAGTTAGAGCAGAACTGCTTGGTCAAAGATTGTCTAAGTCCTCCAAATATTTTTCGAATATTTCTCAAGTCTAGCAGTAAAGATGGCATCTTTGAAAAAATTTGTTTACAAGCCCAACCTTCCCCCCCCCCTCCCCACCTATTCAAGTCATTTACTCTACTCTGCACAGCATCATCTCCAGATTCTGCAAGAGTAGATCACTCTATATTTGGACCACCTTTATGAAGATGTTAACTTTCGGTGATAATCACGCAAAAAAACAAAGAAAGTTACTGAAACAGACACAATCTTGAATCAATTGAATTTAAGGGAGATAGTATTTGATGTTACAGTGTGCAAGATATAATTGAAAGAAAGTTATGATTGTATAGTAATGAATTTGAAATTATTTTGTCGATGAGTTTAATAGAAATCACCGCTTCCAGAATCATCTTTGACGCATCTCTTTAAGAAGAAGTTGCCCTTGCAGACCAAATCCTTTTTGCATCCACATGAGAGTTTGCTCTAAAAACGAAGGCAATTATCAGAATGGTAAAAAGATTGTTGTTCAAGTTCAAGGTATTGCTGACTGCAAATTTGTGGCATGATGGTTCGCTTACATTAGGGCAAAGAAAAGGTTCTGAAGAAGGCAATGCTTGGGGTCATTTGACAAAAGGCTTTGAACGGTTTATTTGCAGGTTGCATAAGGTAAGGAAAGTTGTTGCATATCTGTGTTTCATTTCTCTAGTCTGAATCTTTTTGCTTTTCTGGCTTTGGAACAATGGTACAACGTGAAATCTTTACAAGAATATTCTTGCCAAAATGTCCAAAATAGGAGAGCAACGCTTTATTAAATGAAAATTTTTATGAATGTGGAAGCAGCAAGGAATAAAATACAAACATTGAAAAGCACCAAAAGTCAAATCCTTGAACATTTAGGTAATTGAATAATAACATGACCCGACATGCAATATGCAGAAGTTCTATTTGGTTAACATGCCTTTTATATCGAATATCATTTAGACATGAAAGTTCTCAACCTCCAATCTATACTTGATCGTTACAATAACTGGGAATGGAATTCAGTTAAAAAAATCAGGGCAAAAATTCAAGCCAAATTGATAGGCCCCTATTCGACCGGTCATTACTTTAACCGCATTCAAACTTCTAGCGCTCTTGCATTGTTTTACGACCAGGCTCAGCCAAAAGTAATTGTAATGATTTTAATGGGAAACATTACAATAGGTGTTTATATATTACCATTGGAACTATATATGAAAAAAACTGGCTTTGAGATTGACACGGTCAGATTTTTGGGGAAGAAAGCGTGGGAGGCATTATAACCGAAATTGAGAAATCCAGTCTCCCTTTAGATATTCAAAAGATTTCAGATATTCAGATATTAAAGCCCATCTATAAATGCCGAGCTTGCATTTGCAGATTATGTAAGATGTTTCTTTTACACTTCTACAACATTATAAAAACAATACCACGGGGTCAAAAGGCGATAACTACTTGCTGGTGATTACATAAAGAAAAATACATGCTGGTGCATAACGACTAAATAAAATAACCACAAAATGTTATACACAGTTCTGCATTTATAAAACAAAAAGCAGATGGAACTATATATTGGATTTGGCCATAGGCTGCAAAGTTTATGTTAAACTGAACAAGAGCTATCTTTAAAAGCTATGGAAAATAGAGAAATCATACCCTGATGGTGCACAATGCTCCCTCATCAAGTTGGTCAGCGCAGAATTTGTGCACTTTCATGTTAATGCAGCATCTGCCTTCACCACAGTCAGCGTTTGCAGCGCATTTCTGGAAACAGAGAAGAGAGCATTAAAGGGATATGTTTAAAATGCCAGGTTTTGAAGCAATATGAAAAATAATACTTTGAATTGTGCCTTATATCGAATTTTGTTATGGTGCATAGAAGAAAACGATTTTCAGGCATCATATCATTAAATTTTATGCAAAAATATATTATATGGTACAATATCATAGGCTCCGACGCAGGTTGGAAAGTGGAGGGGCCAAGAGAAAGTGTAACAATCATAACAAAGTTTTTTTGAAAAAGCTCTATTGTTTTGCACAACAGTGAGGGGGCCATGTCCCCCCGCCCCCCCCCATTCGTCGGAGGCCCTGAATGCTAGTTGTCATATTGTTTGAATTTATCACATAGTTTATTATATTTGTTATGCTACGTTGTATAACAACGTTATAAAGTAAAGTTTTCTAAATGCATCTAGTATCATGTTTAGCTTTGGCACGCAAAAGCTGATGGTTCTAATTTGCATTTTCACGTTTAATACTTAATGAGATCATCATGCACCTGTCATCATCGTTCATCAGGCATCATGGTATAAATTAATGCAATAAGATATCAAATGCAACAAGATATCAAATTATATTATAATCTATAATTTACAATGATAATTTATTACAAAATTTTAATGTTTATAATTGAATATTTCTAAAAACTATAAAAATAATATTTATGTGAAGATTAATCATTAATTTCATGATTCTATCCTTGTATAAGATTTTCTTTGCGGGTAATTTTACATAATAAAATAATCTAGGTATAATTTGATATTATATTATTTCAGCTTGAGGAAAACTAACCACATGTTTTTTGGTAATTTTAATAATAAGGTTTTAACATTGTTTTTGCATAATTTTTGTCACAATAAACCAATCAATTTATAAAGTTTTTCGGAGAAACAAACATTATTGCGGGATACTTTGCATTTTGCAGATCAAAATATTTAAGACAAATTTAAATAATTAAATATCTAAAATCAGAACATGTAATGAAAGGTGAAGCCTAGCATGAGACCCTCTACTTTATGTACAGAAATTCAAATCAAGTAGCATTACCTCAAATAAATGCCTTTTTTCCATAGCCATAGCTACTGCCAAGATGGCAAATAAAAACACAATTGACTTCATTTTGTTAACTTCGCTGCAACTTCTCCCTTGTAAGGCTTAATGCAAGTAAGGAACTGTGAACGAACACTCCTTTTATTTTCAACTGTATATTGTTGAGAAAACAATTTGCAAAGCTAAGCCAACAAAAAACATATCATTTGGCTGAAATCTAGCATTTTTGGGGTGCTTTAGAATAGTATCTTATAATATACTCCTTGCCACTATCAATTTCAAGATCATTTAGTCACAAAGAAAATAGGTTTATTGAGAGTTTGCAAACTTCTATTTGGAAAGATGGTGAAAATTTTTAACAGTTTTTTAGAAATGCTGTTTTCAAGAATATTCAGCTGCTTCTGCATGTGCAGATTTATTTGCTCATGGTTTGATATTTTCAAAGAGATTGTCAATGCAGCAGGTAAAACCACATTTGTTTCACATTGTTAAATGTATCTTATATTTTCAGAGGATACAAAATACCGTAGAACGAGTATCTGCTATACTGATGTGACACAGGAAATTTTTCTCTGCAGTGTTATTCAAAGGGGAAAGGGGGGATGGCAGACATTTTCCAAACTACATCTTTATCTTATCGCAACATAATGATAGCATGTTGATAAAATGCTAACACTAAAATAGAGTTACTGCGTTGGCCCTATCATTAGAAGCTCTTTGCCCAAATTATTGCTTCATTGTGGCGCCTTGGTCTCCTAAGAGCCCAGCAGAATATTGACCAGACAAAAATGATGCATACATTTATTAGATTCAGGGGCTGTTTACATGATACTTACAGTACATGATACATTGTAAACCGCCTAAACCAGAGCTCAATACCATACCAGCTCCCTGAATTAGTCGTGTGATAGGTCCGTCGATACGGGGGGCGTGGGGGGGGTTGTTGGGGATGTGACATCCCAGTTGGAAAAAAATTTAATTGCAAAAATGAGTGTTTTTACCATCTAGGGTTGCTTCATTAGCAAATTTTCAGATTTTATAGCAAAATAAAAGATGGTTAACCAGCCTTGTCGGCAAATTGGACCAGAGCACCCCCTTGAGCACAATAGTTACGGCCCTGGTAACATTGACTGATTATGTTCACAGCAGAGACAGAAGGAACCTTAGTCCATGGAAATTAAGGAGAAACAGCTGTGATGATAACATGAACATTGTTTTTGTACTAATTGAAAAGAAGTTGGAAAGCGATCATTTCTTTACCTATTCTAAGGAGAAGAGGGAGAGCGGAGATATGACGAGAGAAAAGAAAGCATGCGGCTAGGTTTGCCAGGACATGAGACTTGACGGGAAGAAAACAGAAAAGAAAAGGCTAGACAAAAAAGAGGTAACGGAGATGTCAAAATAGAAAGGTAAAAAGGGATAACATCAAAGGGGTTACTGATTACTGATGTTTTCACGATAGTGTCAGCCTACTTTTGATAAATAATTGTCAGAAAAAATGGGGAAGTTCTTACTTTAAGATGTGCAAAAAATGTTGCCAAGGTTCCTAAGAGAACTAGTATTTTTTGGAAGACGAATTGCTAAATTCTATATCTCAAGAACAAAAAAAATAATATGAATTTAGCAACAATCAGGGACGCCGGAGCAAGGGACCACACACGGGTGGGTGCCCCCTAGATTTAGCGAGATTCAGTAATCTTCTTTAATTTGCCATTTTTCCTTTTTTAGGCCTGCCCTAACGCTCCTCCGGCGTCTATTGCACTGGCAGTATTGTTCATCAATGGGAATGTGGAATGAGACCATATGTATTACGTGTCAAAATTTTAGAGGTATGTTAGATATGGTATTAAAGAAGACAACCGTTGGCTGGTATGCTATTTAGTACTGTGATGTCGTATGGACAAAGCTGTTGTTGAATAATACGGTTTCAAGTTGCAGCTCCTTGTTCCACGCTTCATTAGGCGAATATTGCAAACAGCAGTCTTTTTTATCAAATCAAGGAGAAAACTCGGATTATCAGTTGAAAACTGTTCTGTTTTAAACACAAAATAATAGTTATGATAACACGATGTATGTGTAATATTACATGATATCATATGATATGACAGTATGTGTAAATATCGTTATGAAATTTCATGATATCATATAATATGACAGTTTTATGAAAACTGCTATTTACGGGTCTGTTTCATAAAATTTCGTAGAACCGTCCTGTTCTATATACCACTTGGCGTGTTATGGTAGTATGGAACATCATTGTTATGGAACAGGTGCGATATTACGCAAATGATATAGATATGGTATGTGTTATGTTAACAATAAATTATGCTATACAATATCAAAATGTTACCATTTTTCATTAAAATCCTATTTCTGTTCACATTGATTGTCTTATAGTCTATAAAATGGTTAGAAAATGAATTGTTCTTCACTTGAATGAAAACAAAGTATCGAGTTCTCATAGTATATGCTAGGAAGGAATTGCAATATCTATTTGCTTCGAGGCTAAATACAAATGATAGACTAGACTGCCGGGGAGCTTTGAAGATATATTCATTTCAAATTCAATAAAACTGGCTTCACACTTATCATGGTGTCCATATTATAGAAGATATGTTGGGGAAAGGCTAACAGTTACACAAGACTTTCCTTACTTAGATTTCCCAAATAAGACTGCTCTTGTTGTCTCCTTCGCAATTTACTCTCCTTTGCAGTTTAGATATATTTTCGCAGCGGTACGAATGACTTACGGGTGTAGCAAAAATAGACTTACCTCCTTCGCAGTTTGCTCTCTTTCGCAGTTTAGATATGCCTTCGCAGTGGTACGAATGCCTTACGGGTGTTCAAAAAATAGACTTACCTCCTTCGCAGTTTGCTCTCCCTCGCAGTTTAGATATGCCTTCGCAGAAGTACGAATGCATTACGGGTGTAGCAAACATAGACTTATCTCCTTCGCAGTTTACTCTCCTTCGCAGTTTAGATATGCCTTCGCAGAAGTACGAATGCATTACGGGTTTAACAAAAATAGACTTTGGGCAAGTCTAGTCCTTGCTACACAAGTTTTTTTTATCTTATTTATTTGGCACAGTACATCATTGTGTTTCACAGCTTACTTCGAGAATTTTACCCTTTTTAACAATTTCTTTAAAAAAATTTTTTATAGCACTCTTGCCATTACATCATTCCGAACTTTTCCAAGCCAAGGTTGCTGAATGTGGCTCAACAATACTTTACTTTGCCTTTAAAGGTGTTCAAACAAATTTCACTATCAGACAATCATTGAACTGACTTAAGATCTGATATAGTTTGCCTAGGGATTGAAAATACTACAATTTTGGCAGTTAATAGTCTTTATGGAGCTGTTTCATGTTCATTATCCTCCGCATTTGAATAAGTTAGCTTTTTCACGTAGTGGGAAATTTTGTTAGCTATGTAGATATTGAATAAAACAAGATATAATAAACAAAACAACAGTAATATAGGGGCACATGTAACTAGCCCCCTGGTAATATTTTAGAAGGAATAGCAATAATATTTAAGGTGCAGTGAAAGCAATACATTTTTTCGGTTTAAGAAACGACGGGTCAAAAATGTGCTCTTGAACGTAGAGAATCTCAATTAAAAAGGCTTTTTTTGATACACAAAGTTGTCAGTTGTTGAGGTTAAGAAATACAAGTTCACCATCAAAAAGAATTCTTGCTTAAATATTTTGAGTCAACCCATGGAATTCTAAATGTAGGCTTCTATAATCGAAAATTTTTATATTGCAAGAATTGAATACCAGATACTTTCAATCCCATTCTGTCAAAGACGTTATGGTTTTCACAGCCATGGAACTTAAACCATTGATTTGTTTTAGGACTTCAACTGGATACTGGATAGCAGCTAATAGCGAAATGAGGTAGGTTTAGAGATCACACTTTCAGATATGCTCCCAAAAACTAAAAATGCATTAACAGGAGTGATTCAGAGAGTCAGTGAAAGATGAAACTGATGAAATGGGCGTTGAAACTTTAAACAAATTACAAAGTATGGTTGAAAGGTTGCGTTGGCTATGCAAATCTTTTTGGACACATCTGTGCCAAATGAACTCAGAGTCAGTATTGCTTCTCTGTTGAGATCTTGATAAAGATTTCTTAGGGGAAAGCTGAGTAAATAAATAATGGCAAATCCTTTGCTCGAACAGGTGTTAAACGGTGTATATCGAAAAAATCTACCTTGCAGAACTTACTTAGCCTTTAGATTTCACTCTATATGATAACGCCAGAAATATCTAGAAGGCACAGGCTCCTAGACACTGGGGGAGCAGGGGGGCAATGCCCCCAATAACTTGCAAAAATTATGTTTGAAGATCTTAGAAGCGCAGCTTGATCTGACAGTATTTTGTAAGGCAGGTATAGAAAAAGATATTTTTGTATCCATGCCCTCCCCCAATCCAGTTTAACTGTCTACGGGCCTGGAAAGCAACAGCGAGCATGTCTTGCATGTATCATACTTTATACAAACTTTCTAACGTTGTCTTGTAACGTTGTCAGGCCGGTTTCCACCTACCCCATGAAAGCAAAGGAACCAAAACAGCAAATCAGCAAACGTGCTCAGTCGATCGGTAGTTCAGCTGTATTAAACTACTCAACGAATGGTCATTTTTATACAGCAAAAGACTAAAAAATGCATTCCTTTTTATCACGTTACCAGAGCGAATCAAGAGAAAACTCCTGGTCTATGATACTTTACCAGATCGTTGCCAGTAACAAGTCGATTTTTCATACCTTCTACGGTCATCATCTTAAATAATTGTTGTCCCTGAATCTCTATGACAAAATAAAATCAATGTCACCTTATAAAAACTAAATGTCTATTACAAGGAAGTCTAACAATATTATAGAGTTGGTATAAGCAACCCTATTTTGTATCAACAGCCAATAATACAGTTGAATAAAGCCCACTTAATTTGGACTTGTTTTGAAAAAACACGGAGAGCTTTCTTAGGCTTTTATTTTGCTTTTGATGACTATTTTTATAAATTCTTTTTGTCAATCAATTACAAGTAGAACAACTTCACCCTTACCATCCCAGCTGTTGGCTTCTAACCTATCATGACCATTATATCTGTCGAATGCAAAAACATATTTTTATCCGTGTTTTATGGTGTTTGATAGAATATTTACTTACATTTTTGCCAACCAACTTTGCTGTCCTTAAGAGAAACAATGCAAGGTTTATTGGAACAATTGCACTTGTAATGTGTGCACATTGCAGTTTCTATGGCAGTTGATCCTTGAGACAGGACCTTCATATCAATTCATATTTTTATACATACATTCTATTCATAAGATTCTATTTAAACTTACAACAAACCACGTAAGAAGTCACTATTTTTTCTGAATAAAAGTCAATGTTTTGTGGTCTTATGATAAATCTTTACTTCTTAAGGTTTGATTAATCAGCAATTCATATATTTATCAAAAATTTAAAGGAAGGAATTATCAAAGACAGCTAACACAACAAGTTTAGGAGGATAAATTTTACCGTAATAGATCAACAACTAATCCTTTGTACAGCTAAGTAAACTATTAAATGATATATATATACCTCATTCCATCTCGTTAATTCACATCATCTCCTGGAAATCATAAACTGGTAATTTGTGCAAGTTCTCAACTTCGACATGAAAACACTGGTCGTTCTTTTCCTTGTTATCTTGGCAATCGCACTGGTATCTTCTGCAGACAAGAAGAAGCCGAAACCGAAGCCATCTTCAAAACCATCTCCAAAGCCCAAGCCAAAGGTATCACTTTTTACTAACCTATATTATTTAGGCAAAACTATGGAATGCCATCAGCAAACACAGGATGGCAAAATATCAAGTGCCAATTTGTTCCACTTGTCTGGAGATCCTCTGAGACATTGCTCTAACGTAAATAGAGACTATATCAACTATAGCCATGTCAAATTGCCGGATTTTATGGCAAGTCATTATAGCCAATAGGAAAATTTTGGTTAGTAATGATAGTTCAAACAAAAATTGAATTGAACTGTCGCAAGTAGCGATTTCTTTAAAAAGGAATATGTTATCTTTTATAATGGTACAAAAAATGTTTACATATTTTTTTAGTATAAATAGTCGGCGGTTGACAAAAAAGTTAGCTGAAATATTTAGGTGAGGATCAAAAGTACGATGAGATGAAGAAAGGACATCTTTGATTGGCTCCTTGCTAAAGAACAATCAACACTAACACCGTATTTAGTCGAAAACAGTGAAAATGTGTTTTTTTGCTTGCACAAAGCAATTTATCTTTACATTGACAGATTCCAAAACTCTTGAATAAAAGATGGCCTTGCTTACCCTCTGACTTAAGCGTTTCTCTGAACAGCAACCTTTCTTTACTTTCCTTATCAACCTTATCTTTCCTAATTGACCAATTTCATTTTGCTTTAACCTGAAGTTTGGCTGCAAGTCTGACGACGAATGTAAAGATAACCAGTGCTGCATAAAGACCAAGAGATTCAGCTTTTGTGCCAAGAAACTCAAAGAGGGAGCTAGATGTGGATTTGTAAGTGAATTCTAAATATGATTTCTGCTCCTTCATTACTGTCCCTAATTATCTTTGTAGTCTGCTTTCATGGCTAATCTCAATAATGTATTAGAAATAGAAGAATATCAATTGTGAATATTTTGCTTTTGTTTCAAGATGCCGAGGTCTTCTTGATTATCTGAATTCTGCTTCATATGTTGTGAGCCTCGAGCCACTACGTGCTGGCCCACAGTGGCAAGGAGCAACCGAGTTTGTTATCCACTATATCACAGGAGCAACAAATGAAGCCTTATAAATTTCTTAAAAATACGTTGTGGCTCAATTTTTCTTATCCTCTGTTCCCGCTCTCCTTCTTCCTTCCCATTCCCCTTCCCATACAAAATTTCGACTCCTTCGTTAGAAATGTTTCTACATTCAATCCCAGTTACATTGTCAAACTATGCAACATTTTGTGTTAAGCAACTTTGAATGGAATATAGAACCTGTTGAGAGGTTATGTTTAGACAAACTGATTAAAACTAACATTTCTAGGTCTCCCAACAGTTTTTGTAGCTTGATTATATATCTCCAATACTACACAACCCTTTTTGTTTGCTAAGACGATTGTTCAAATCCGATTTGTTGATCTCAATCTTCTTCTTGCTCCTAGACCAAGTTCAAATGTGGCTGTGCTGATGATCTTTCTTGCAAAAAGTTCAAGTTCATAAAAAAATGTTCCAAGGAAGAGGGAAGTGGTGATGATTTCCTTTTCTAAGAAGGAAAACTGTTTACATTTTGATTAATTTGAAAACTAGATGTAGTGAGTCTTGTTTTCGAATCTATGTGTGTTATGAAGCTTTGAATTTTCTCAGTCTCTTTCTGATAAATCAGTAAAGTGCCCAGAGAGGAGCACATGATATATCAATTTAGAGAGTTTAATGAAACCTCGAGAAATAAAGATGGCCAGTTTAACGGCATTACTGACTCTAAACAAAATTGATGCTAAAATCGTGAAAATTATTGCTAAAATTATCAGCTGTCGTTCGATATTGAGAAAGTGGATGCTCTTTCATCAAATAGAGATACAAGCAAATTTATAATTGTTCATTTGTTGCTAGATATCTGAGTCACTGAGTCCCGTTGCGAATAAAATTCCACCGCAGATGCCTGTGTAGCCACAAAATCTGAGGAGCGTTATCCATTTTATTACCTAAGGCTTGCCGTAGTGCGTGGGGTTTGACAGGAGTTTTTGCCATCTGCTGGTACTTCATCGGCTGTTTTTCAAACTTGCTGGCAAATAAAGGCAGACTCTCCTTTTAGGCAAATAAGACCTTGACGGCCCACTTGAGCCTTAAGCATGATGACTCATATTGGCAATCAATTGCAGCAACCTCGATTTTTTCTCCTGTTAAGGCCCAAGGATTCTTGTACCAAAGAGATTATGGAGGAGTGAGTAGACGAACGCGGAAAAGTGTGGTAATGAAAGCAAGAAACTTTTCAATTCAAGAATGTGACAATATCTATTAAAATAAATAAAATGATACGAAATATTTTTTAGCACTTTGTTAATTAATGCTGAAAATTATTAATACAAATGTTAACTAGAAAAAGCAGCAATCTCAGTATAGCCAGATCAAAATAAATGAATATAAGAAGAAAATGTATCCTATATTTATAATGAAAAAACAAACTATCTACAACTGCATGTAATATTCTAACACTTATTTTTCTTGAAAATGAAAGAGATTGGGACTATTTCATAAGCAAAAACCAAAATAACCAGATACGTGCCAAACATTCACCCCAGTAAGCAAGGCCTAAAGCAACATTGAGTGCGGTCTTTGTTTTTTCTTACAGACAAATTCTATCGTATTCTTTGAATATTGTTTAAGCCCCGGCAAAACGACTGGACATTTTCACTGAACATGCACTGGACAAATGTCCAGCGTAAATGTTGCGTCGTTTTGCCACCTTGTCCAGTCTTGTTCAGCGATGTTGAGTGTTGTTCAGTCGATTTTGAAGGCAGCCAAAAATATTCAGTGGGCAGGATTAAATTTCTTTTGTTCACTGAAATGTTGTACAGAAATTGTTCAGTCGTTTTGCCACTCTACTAAACATTGTCCAGTTCGCGCACGCGCAATTGATTAATGGTTTGGATTTGGCGTCAGTTTCTTTCCCATATTCAAATCTTCAACAAAATTTCCTAGTAAACACCGCAAACGAAATTGAAACAACGTTAAAATTCCATTCGACCAATAGCAGAAAAAGGCATTTCATTAGTAACGACGAGTCCTCTGATCAGATTAGCTTTAGTTCCGATAAGGAAAGCGATGTCAGAGAGCACTAGGACGGTGATTTTAACGAACCTAGCAAATCCTAGATATTCAATAATATACTCTAATTCATACGATAACACGGTTAGGGCCATGAAAAGTGTATTTTCAAAGGTAAAGAGATGCCCTGTTGCCAGTTTTCCCACCCGCATTCTTCAACAGGGAAAAAGTTCACTGAACAATATTCAGTCGTCCAATATTTTCTTGATGTCCATACTCTGAACAAGTGAGCAATGTCCTGTGTGTGACCAGTGCAAATGTCCAGTCGTTTTGCCGGGGCTTTAGCATTGCTGCTAGGTATTTCTCGTTTCTGCAATACCACAAGGTATATTTAACTATGCCCAAGGGTCCTTCTATTAAAATGGCATTTCAGCTACAGTTTATCAGCCAATGCAATGCAATATTTTGGCGAGACGTTGTGCAAAATACACATCTCAACTTGTTTATAGGTACAGTTGTTAACTCAGTGGCGTAAGCAACTTCTTTAAGGAGGAGGATTAAATGGGGGCAACGCCCTGTCAAATATATACAGTGGAATCCCGATTCAACGAACGCTGAAAGGAACCAGCAAATTGTTCGTTATACTGGGAGTACGTTGAATCGGTAGGAAATTTTTCCTGAATTCTTTTCGCAGTACACGCTTCAAAAACTCTTCCGTGGGGTTGCTTAGACTATCCCCAAGCTCTGTGCACCTTTTACTCAAATTAACAAGCTGGATACAAGAGTTATGATGGTCAGCGATGAAAATCTTGTCTACCACACATTTGGCATTCTGTGTGTTGGCTTTTTCACTGAAATTTCATAAAGCTTTGAAAAGGTGTTACTTTTGCACGCATCTCATCTCCATTTTCAGCATCATAAAAAGTGCATGTTTGCCAATGTATGTTTTACAGACAACAATAACGATTTCCCCTGAGAGAAAGTGGTAAATGTACACCAGAAAGTCGCAATGATGAGAGCTCGTTATATTCAGGGTTCGTTTTACCGGAAAAATTTTATAAGGAGTTTATTACCCAGAGCGCTCGTTATACCGGGAAGTTCCTTATGTGCGGGGTTTGTTACACCGGCATTGCACGGTATTGCAATCAAACATCTTTTAATGTTGACAAAATGTAATTAAAACATATTTTGAACTTTGAACATCACGATATCATCTAAAGCGGTTAACAAACAGCAAGGCACAAAGACCTATTTGAACAGTGAAAAGATCAAGAATCCAGCTAAGACAACATATACACAAAAGAAATATACCAAAAGGCTGCATTTTGGAAGGGCCCTTTGCACAGCTAAGCAAGCTAAAGACAAGTTATAAAGAAAATCCTGGGTCATTTTGCAAACCATTTTCCAAGCTGCACAGGCTAGTGACTTCTGCAAGATTGTGAAGCAAAAATGAGGACTCTAGTTGTTCTATTCCTCGTCGTTCTGGCAATTGCCCTTGTCTCTTCAAGCCGTCAAAAGCTAAAGGTAAAATTATTTATTTATTTTTTTATGAAATCATGCACAAGACTAGAAGAAAAGGATTTTAATGACTGGATATTTCAGACAGATTTAACTCACATTCAAGTGAAGCACTGCTTTTTTTAAGAATTTAGCAGGTGCTGTTTGAGGAGGTGTATCTTTTTTTCTTCTTATCTTTATAATTTGAGTCCTTTCTCGCCTCTATTGAACAGAGATTCAGATGCAAATCGGATAGCGACTGTAAAGACAGCCAATGCTGTGTGGAGACAAGGGTGTTCAGCTTCTGCTCAAGGAAACTCAAAGAGGGATCAGTCTGTGGCTTTGTAAGTCAACATACAATTAAATGATTCCATTGATTAAACGATTCAATTAAATGATTCCATTGATTAAACGATTAAATTAAATGATTTCTTTGATATTTTACAAAGCAATAGCATAAGGTTATTTTGTATCTGTGTTTAGGGAAAATATAAATATAGAAAATATAAAAAAATTGAGCAATAGAACTACCTTTCTTTTGCAGTATTTAACCAAATGAGAGAATGTCAGGACTAAGAAACGAGAGCAGACTAAAACTTTTGATTACCAAGCAAAACAGGGAACTTTCCCAGAATTTGCCAAATTACTTTCACATCAAGGCGTATTTGCCAGTTACAATCATTTGTTATATAAATTGTTTCCTTTTTACCTGAATATTTTAATTTCCATCAAATGTTTGGTCATTTAAGAGAATCAACATGGCAACAATGTATCTACAAAGAAAGTACTTCTTTTTGGCTTAAATCTTGGCGAATACTTTCCAGTTCTCACATTTCATAATATTTAATTCTGATGATAATGATGAATTAAAATGTTTACATTAACTTATACAATTCTTTTGCCCTGTTTGGTCAGAGAGGTAGGGGCACCAGGGAAACAGCCCCCCCCCCAAGATTTTGCAGTGAATGAAAAAGTATGTGTGAATATAGAAAAGGTCACAATTGCTGTCTGCTCGACGGACTCCAAGGAGTGCTGGCGGCAAAAAATCGATGAAAATGTACTCTTCTCAGAAAGTGCCTTTTTAGTCTTATTTTCCACTAAAACTGTGCATCGTGTAACTGAGTTTCATCTGTGTCTCAAGTATTCACCAAGCGCCTTCCTAGTTAAAAAGTGTTCCTTTTAAAATGATTCCTACATCCCTGCTTCCTGGTAAACATTTTTGCCCTCGCAATTGCTTATTATTTAGATATAATTCATACATGTCTTGTTTTCATTACAGACAAAATATCGATGTGGATGTGCTGAAGATTTGGTTTGCAAAAAGAGCAAATACTACATTAAGCGATGCACCAAAGAAGAAGGAAGTGGCGATAATGATGACCTCGTCTTTTAATAAAAGAAGAACTTTTAATGCGATTGAAAAAATTTACTGGATAAATTTTTCTTAAAAATATGCTATTTTATTTCGAATATATGCTGGAGGTTTCTTTAAAAGCAATAAACCGTTGAGCATGTTATTGTTATTGAATGTTTTATAATTATTTTGAATATGTGAGAATGAATGTCCCCAGAAAGAAAACTCGATGTTTTGCTAGTTCTCTAATGTCATTTAGCCTTTTATCAATGAACACGAAGTGAATAAGCATTAATGAGATATATATATTTCCGCACAACTGGGTATATATATTTCCTAGCGTAGAGTTTTCGATCTATGTTCTGACGTTTTGAACTCTAAAGAGTGTCAGACGAAAAGCTTTAGTTTACTAAATGGTTGCCTTTTTCAAAGCCATTAATAAGATTTACTGGAATCGGCACCTGACCTCAATAATACGTGATATGATAAAGGAACATTGGTAGAAAAAACTTCCATGTTTCGATAAATATTCTTCAATAGAACTTTATGCTTCTGTATTGGTTATTGTACATGTGACGTAAGAAAGTCATGTTATTGCAAATATTCAGGACAGCAGGGAATCACAGACCCCCTCTTCAGATTGCAACGTCGATTTTTCAAATTAGTGGCTCCTTAAACTAACTGGTTGTGGATTCGAAACCAAAAGGCTTCACATATAAATAAACAACTATTAGGAATAATTGTTTAATCCTTATCAAAAATAGTTAAAATAACACAAGTTCAATTTTGCAAGCTGATGACACCTGGAGTCGACTACCTCCGCAAATTCTCCAAGCCCTGCTAAATTGTCTGCTCTCCACCTACCTGGAGTTAGTAATATGCTGATTTTCCTAATCAAAGACTGATATTAAAAGCTGACAAGCTCTCCTAGTCAACCACCATACTTCAAATTTAGCAACACTGCAAAAATAATAAAAAAAATCTTTGCAAGACACTGACAAGGATCCTTTATAAATGGGAATCTTTTGACTTGCACATGTCTTCGTTCCTGTTCTAAAAAGATCTAAAAAGAGTAGAGGGCATGTGTCATACCTTTATTAGAATAGATGATGAAAGAGTTCAAAGAAATGACATCACTAAATCAAAATGATGTGTATGAAATAAGAAAATATGTAGAATAAGACACTTTCGTGCATCTGATTACACGCCTTAACAACACGTTGGTCAATTACTATCCTGTCTTGGAAATGTTCCTTCTTTTCTCATCCATATGGAAGAGCTCAAAGAAATGACGTCACTGAACTAAAATATGAAATAATCAAGATAATTTTTTAAGGAAAAGAAGTACGCATGAGTCTTAGAGACTCGACAGTCTCTTATTGACCAAGAACCACACCGCAAAACAGTGCTGAGCTTTTGGCAGACTGTATGCCATCCCACAGAGTTGCAGTATAAGTGTGAAGTAAAGAAATAAGTGTGAAGTAATTTATTTAGGAGCCTATACAAATGGCTGATTTTTATATAGTCTCTCTTCAATAATACTCTCTTTGTTTTGGAAACTGGCAGGGTTTATTTTAAGAAATTTTCATGCTGCACATTTTCAAAATTCTTGAAAATTCGAGTGTTGCCTTTTGAAAATAGTACGGCCACACCTATCGAACTAACTGTATCTGGAATTATCGAATTACACCAGCTCTCACCCAAGCTCCGTAAGAGGTTTTGATGAGGAAAAGATGACATGGTTAAAACAAGTTCTCGAAAACAAATATCTCAAAGGAGAAGATAATGAACAAAACAAACTAGATAGCTTCTAGATACTGAATTCGATAAAATTTTAGAGAGATATCATATATTATGATCATTGTTTCTGTTATGTTCTCGTTTTAAATATTGTGATGCTCTTTTACAAGCTTTATATATCTTTTTGTAGTTGCTGCATTTTTACTTCTTCCCTACCAAATCTTTCCTTCTTCACACCCTTATTCACTGCAAAAAATTTGAGTTTATCACTGCACAGTTACGATTTATTACTGCACAAATTGGTTATCACTGCACGTTTAAAAAAACTCCTAGAAACTGGAGTCATAGCAATTCTTGCCAGCATATATCTATGTTACCTACACCAATATTTAAAATTTAGGCCCATTTGTTCTGCAGGGTTCATCATTTAAGCAACACGTTTACACAGAATATCGAAGTTGAGCAACACAGGTCAATCACCTCATCAATATTATTGACTTTTTTTGAAGGATTTTATTTCTTATTTTCAAGCAATTTTGGTAGTTGATGACGCTTTCAAACACTCACGATGTAAAAATTTGAGCAAAATCAATATGCAAGTACATTTGCTGTGTTTCAAAGCTGAATTTGCACAAAGGGAGTACTGTAGATGGCAATAGAGACCTTTATTGATTTTAGAGAGGGATGTATTTTAAAGGCAGCTAAGCCAGCAAGTATAATGTATTGATTTACCAAGGTAATGCATTTTAAAGGATACTCTGCACAGCTAAGCAAACCATATATGATTCATATAGATTATAAAGTCATTTCAAGTCTGAAAAAGTAGTGACTCCTGCCAAGTTTTGACACAAAGATGAAGTCTCTTGCTGTACTTTTCTTTCTTGTTCTGGCAGTTGCACTTGTCTCCTCACACCCTCAATGGCCACAAAAGGTATAGTTGCTAGTGTATTCACGAAGTTGCGTGTAAAATGAGGTAAATAAAGAGTAAAATGAAAAGCAAGGTAGCAAAAAAAATTCAATTTGTTTTTCTAAAAAATGCCATCCCTTAGACAGCGTTTTCTCCTGATTGATGTAATATCTGCGATATATTTTCAATACGCAGGGATTTGGATGCAAATCAGACAACGAATGTGGGCAGAACGAATGCTGTATTATTGGCATATTGCACGGTTTCTGTTTTCCAAAACTCAATGAAGGATCACTATGTGGTTTTGTGAGTTCAGATATAATTACTTAAAATATTTACTACAAATCACTTGCATTGCTTCTTACTTTCTACACCATGAAGCTATCAGCTTGATGAAAGTCCATTCTCGAATAAGTCACTCCTCATATATACTCCCCCTCAAGGATCGAGTTTTGAATGTGCTCACCTTTTAAATAAACTGACTATCCTGCTGTCCAGTTTGAGTTAAAGCAACCAATTGATTGCAACTTCTTCAGGTATTTTCTTTTTATCAGAGATTTCATAGATTCATACGATTGGCGAGCTTTTAGGTCACAAACCTTGTTTTTTGTCACATGAGCATTCCTTATACAGGAAATGTCAAATAGAACTTTAGGTGCTTGTCTATTGCTGGCTGTCTGTCATAATGTATTTTCAACACAAAATTGTTTGAAGTATGAAAATTGAAAGTATAGCAATTGAAAGTACAGTAGTCTCTTAATAATTCTGTATTTGATAATTCTATAGTTTATAATTGTTTATCTTTCTTCAAACCATAAGATACGACATCGATGTGGATGTGCAGATGGCTTGGTATGCAAGAAAGGCAAATTTTTATTTGACGAATGCACCAGGGAAAATGGCAACGGAAATAACAATGACATTATTCATTAACTGCAAATTTGAATATGTAAAATTTCAAACAAAATGTACTGAATATATTTTTCTGCCAATTCTGTAAGAAAGCAAATTCTTATTGTCTTTATTGTCTCGTCGCCTTTTCCGAGGGCTTAGGGTTTACAGAGGGTGTTAGTGACATAAAATGCACTCTCTTACCTTTTCATAGTTTAACTGTAAAATAATTTGGCGTGAAGAAGACACCATATTATATCTTCTCATCATGCTTGCAAATAATTGCACTATTTAGGATAAAGTTAGAAAATAAATTGCTAAATTCGCAAAAAAGTTTAGTTTGGAAAAAATATATGGTTACTCATGGGGAGGTCAAAAATACCGAAAAAATGGAAGGGGCTAAGAGGTGCGTTTATGCCGCTTCATACCTTACCCTCGTTTTGATAATAGACCTCGTTTTGACAAGTCGCAAGCATTGTGGCTGAGCTTACCGGCCTACTGCAAGGTTGAGTTGCTGTTTTATTAATTGTAGAAAGTTTATACGCAACGAAATCATGCCAGTTGCAACAAGAGGGTTTTTCATAACAGTCATAGCTGGTGCATTAATTGGCGCCACTGTCGGTTTCTATATCAAAGATCAAAAGGAAATAAAAGGATTGGTAAGTTTATTGATCGTTGTGCTCGGTTTGCTTTGGCAAATGATTGATACCTTGCCTATGGAACTAGAGTTTTGTTTCGGATAAAATAAGCATATTCAGAGTTTTTTCGTATGTACATGATTTATACATTTAACCCTGGCATTGCTTTAAAGAGGCCAGCCAAAGTATGGGCTCTATTATAGAAGTAAGAAGCGCAAAAAAGTATAAGAACTTTAACTTTAACCTTTGTAAATTTTATGTTACTGCCTGTTTTTTCCAGTTTCCAGAGTATTACCGATTTAAACAATATCTTGGGTGATCCTGTGCAGGCACCGTGGAGCATTGAGAAAAGTGGGGGTGGGGGGGGGCTTAAATCGAATAAAAAGTGGCTTGACTGGTAATTCATTGGTAAATTTTTTGCATTTTTGGCAGAAAGTGGGGTAGGTATAGCCCCCAGCCCCCATCTCTGTGGTGCCTGCTGTGAAGAACAGTCATATTCTGCAGACTGGACCATTGCTAGTTAACTGACTAGCAGCTTATCAATCTGTCATACACTAATATGATGCCTAGTCCGTCTGTAAAAATCTGTGTTATGACTACATTCCCGCCCACAATTATTCTTGGTTCTGGCATCTCATTTCAAGTCAGAGTCAGAGTACTTTATTACTTTGAACTTTTGATTGATTTGGCTGTTTAATTTTCCCTGCTAAACCAAGAAGAAGTAGAATTCTCGACTGCAAAGTATGGCAGTTTCGAATGAGATTGTAAAATTCTCAAGTGTGCACTTGCCATACTCTGTGGTCTGGAACACAGTTTTGTAAACAGTCATCTAGATTAGATATCAGGGCTTTCCATGGGGAGGGGAGGGGGGTCGTGCGATAGCATGCGAGCTTGCAGGCACGCACCCAAAGTTTTCTTTGAGAGCGATTAGTCCCAGTGATAAATATTTCTCTTGAAGATAGAGTGTGATTACCAGATGCTGATAGGTCAATCCACTTGAGAATCTCTTTTTAGAAACAAAAGTTTGACATTGAATCCTTGTTTTCACTACTCCCTTTTGTATGTCTCTGTTTTCGGATCATTCAGTTTCCATTATTCTTGAGCATTTCCCATTGCTCCAGTTTTTAAGTGACTCCATGATTTTTCTATGACTTCGTTTTCAAACAACTCTGTTTTCGGTTGATAACTTTGAACATCATTATCAAATGTCTCCGTTTTTGAGCGTATCAATGGGAGCCAAAAATAGAAAATGATTCATTTAGTTCCTTTTCCCCATGAATGCGGAGTAATAGGAGCAGGGCCTGATTTCCAACGGACTTACACATTATTTATTGCCCCTTTGCCATTTGTTGGTTAAATGGGGCCTTCTTTTGTTTTATTTGCTAAAGCTATTTCTGTCTATTTTTTCCTTTAACTTTGTTGAACAGAATTGAAACTTTTTCACGTTTCTAAAGTCACTGAAACCTCTCTATGTTGAATAGTACCCTTCACGATTACTCGCGAGGGAAACATAACTATACAATGTGTAGCATTCAGTTCCTTTATTAAAAGTTTTGTCAGGTTAAATGATTCAATAGAAAAAACTTTATTGCTTTGTGTTAACAAAAATTTGATTTGTGCGCCCCACTCTTATCACACAAGATTTATGAACGTGAATGACTCGAGATATCCATACATTTGAAAATGCATTGTTTCCCTTGCGCAAAAAAATACTAGTCTTGGGGTAAGGTATTTGCTGACTAATCAAAGTGTTTTGTTAATCAAAATGTAATGATGCAGCTAAGTGGTTTAATAGGCTGGCAATAAAGCAAAGCATTAAGTGCTATAAAATTAAATAATTATTTGTTCTGAGATGGATAGACCGTTTCTCTCCCATTATATAATTTATGAATTCTTTTTTCACAAGATAGCAAAATTTAGAATAGATTGATAGCACAAATTATGAATGAAAATGTTTGCAACTCTTTTAGGAAGAGGAAATCCCTCAATTAGAAGAAAGAATATCCAAGAAAAGGAAAGTTGTAGAAGAACTACAGAAGCTTTCAAAAAACAGGTGAGATTCTGACAGTGAATGGAAGCAGAATGGAGGGAATGGATGATGAAAGAATAGTTGACTATCAAGTGAAGAAAATATTTGGTGTTTTCAATGTGTTTGCGTTTGTTCTGAAATTAATCGCTCTAGTCAGCTGTCAAATTGCTGTAGATAGAATATGTTAATTAAAGTACTTTGATGTTTTTCTGAATTGGTCGCACTATCTTATTTGTTGAATAATGATCAAATCTTAATTTAAATCTGTACCATAAACATTGCCGAGCAACAAAAAGTGCTCCATATCCTGAATATTATTTTTTGTAGAACATAAAGAATTTAACGTATTCCTAAGGTTATGTCTGATACAATGTTAACATTTATCTTGCTGAGTCCAACACAAAATTTTGTTAAAATTGGTAAACCTTTCATGTCGTAAATAATGAAGACCAGTTTTGGAGGTGGACAGATTAGTGCTACTAGTTGTTTCTTGAAAGTATTCATCAAGCAAGATTGTTTAATCTCAGGGTCAAGTTTTTCTAATTCGAACCAGCAGTTAGGATATAAACTGGATATGAATCTCTTTGTTCTCACACATATTTGCGCTGTTGAAATACATCTGCTAAGCTATTCCTGATCCAATAGTTGAAATACTGGACTTTATGTGTAAACTCATTTCTTGTTATAAGAAAAAAGTGGTATCGAATCTTCTTGTTCCTTGAAGCTTTGGCAAAATTACAACACTTAGGAGTTTCTTTATTATGATGCCATGAATTATAACCTTTTTGTTCCTATATTGGTTTTTCAAGCTAGGGAATTTTTCAACAGAAACTTGTTGGCAAAGTTTTACAGCTGCAAACAATGAAAATAATCAATATTTTTAATGTTTTCAAATGCTTGTCATGGGCTCCGACAAAGGTTGAAAAGTGGGGGGGGGGGGGCCAAGGGAAAATTTAACACCCATAACAAAAGATTTTGAAAAAAAACTCTATTGTTTGGCAAAAAATTCAGATGTTTCTTCTTTTTTGGGTCGAATGCTGAAATCTCAATATTTGTGATTGTGGTTTCTTAAAGCAATATATGTGTGGGTCGAAGTCAATTCATTATCTTAGAAAAGAACAAAGCATGTTTCCAACATCAGATGTTTAGAGACTCTCAACCAATTTCATAGAAAGATGTGCCCTTCCAAGTGCCTGCCACTGTGACTGTTGAGGAAAACCTCCAATCTCGCTGGTATCAGAATAGAGAACCCAAGAGCAGAAATATGAATCCAAGAAAATACAACTATTTGCTTTACATCTCCGTCTTTTTCCAAATCTCAAACGATTACAACACTACGACGACTCCTGCGTCGAACACTCTACTTTTTCTAATAAATTTGCGGAATATATACGTTTACTTATGTTGCTAATTAGTTTTGAGTCATGAACTTTTAATTATAACTACCAATCAACTTGCATATATGTTAGTCAGGTGTTTATTTAGGATAAGCATAATAACTTAATCAGCGGGCGTGGTATAACTATTTCCTATAACCTCGGACGGATTCAGCTAAAAGCGAGGTTTTGACGCAAATTCTACTCTAAAACAACAAGAAGAAAGTACTTGCATGACTAACAAGGAACCCGACGAAATCAATGAACTAATTGTAAAAATACACGTGCTATATGCAAAATGGCGGATTCCCAACAGTGACTGGCTAAGTGACTGGCTAAAGTCATAGGTATTTTCTCCAATGTGACCTGATTGGCAACCATTGTCCGGATGCAGTTGAATACAGAGTTAATATATTTCAATGAGTGTATGTCCCAAAGGTATTTTGGATGGGATTTGAGCATCCCTGTTTCACGTCTGAAATTTGGAAGCTACTGATTGAATACGACGAATGAATGATAATTTGGAATCAAGTATTGTACAAATGTGCTTGTGCTCTTTGAACATTAAAAATATAAGATAATGATTTGTTTGAATTTCCTTGTTTGGAATAGTCACCTCAATCGCTTATTTTCTTTGGTCTAAATTGAAGGAAATTCGCTAACATTGATGATAGCAATAAAGAAACAATTTATCCAACAGTTGTTTTGCGTTTCTTTATTATATCAGTAGAATTCATCTACTCAGGCCAGGATGACAAAATTTTCCATACACCTTGAGATTTCACCCAAGAGCGAAATTTCAACTTTGGGGAAGGGAGTCGATGCTTCCCTTAAGGCTGAAATACACTTTGCATTTAAATGGATTCGATTAAATGGACGGTCCATTTAAATGGAAAAATGTCTCCAAAATGACCATGTTCTTCAAAAATATTCAAAACATTGCATCAAGGATTCTTTTACGTTCGCTGAGTTCATGCAAACTTGAACATCGAAAACGAAACATCTTTCATGTGTTCTTTTGACATTAGTAGTCTTTTCACAAATGTTCCTTTGAGTGAGACCATCAAAATATGTGCCTACGCTTTGTACCGGAGCGAGCTTAATAGCCGACCATTCCCAGAGGAAGTATTCATTGAACTGATGGAAACTGCAACACGTTCAGTTGAATTCAGTTTTAACAATGAAATGTACCAACAAAAGGATGGTGTCGCTATGGGTAGCCCTCTGGGACCTGCCTTGGCCAATATCTTTGTTGGCTTTCATGAAGAGCGTTTTTTCGACTACGACCAAAAGCCAGGTGTCTATTTTCGGTATGTGGATGACACATATACCATTTTCAAAACAGAGGCTGAGTGTGATATTTTTCTAAAACACCTAAATAGCCTACACCCAGCCCTCCAGTTTACGTTTGAAAAGGAAGAAAATGATTCCTTGCCATTTTTAGATGTTTTGGTCGAAAAGTCTAACACTGGATTCTTACCAGTGTATATCGCAAGCCTACTTTTACCGGTCAGTACATACGCTGGAATTCATTTTGCCCAAAACAACGCAAAGTCAACCTTGTCAAAACATTAGTACATAGGGCACATATGATCTGCTCGAAATCTAAACTGCACGCTGAACTGGAAAAACTCAAAACGATCTTCTTGGACAACGGCTATCCTGAAGACGTCATTTTATCTTATACTAAGGAGAAGATCGCAAGTTTTTCGGCTGTTCAAAAGTTTGGTCCGCAAAAGTGCCCAGTTTATTTGAAACTACCATGGATTGGTAACACTTCCTTGCGATTCGAGAGTCAGATTAGGCAAGCCATAACCAATTGTTTCTTTGCTGTCAATCCTCGGATTGTTTACAGCACTAGGAGAGCCCTTCCATCCATTCAAAAGGATTGCGTCCCTACCAAACAAAAAAGTTCCGTCATTTATGAATTTACGTGCCAGTGTGATTCTGGCTACGTAGGGCGCACAACCCAAAGATTGGGGGATAGAATAAAACAGCATGTTCCTTCCAACATACGAAACAAAACTGCCCCTCAAAGAGAACAGCCTCCTCGATCTTGTAGGTCTAGAAACACTGTTAAAACAAGTGATTCTGCCATTGGTCAACATCTTTTAGACAACCCAGATTGTGCAAAACTCTATAATGACGACATGTTTCGGATAATTGGCAGAGCCCGGTCGTCTTTCCATCTAGCAGTTTTGGAGTCAATCTACATAAAAACGAAAAAGCCGCCATTGTGTAGACAAAAGGAGTTCGTTTTCTCTCTTGGACTCCATTGGTAATTTTTCTTTAGGCTCGCGGCACTGATTGGTCAACTATACCGGTCTTGTGCTTGCGTTTTCTGATTGGCCTATTTCGATCCACAACTGGGTATATATTTTTCCATCGTGTTTTTTCGGAACCTATTCTGACGTTTTATGCTCTGAGGAGTGTCAGACGAAAAAGCTTTAAGTATGTTGTAAAATGTTTGCTTTTTTCAAAGCCATTTTCAAATTCTGTACCGCAAAAAAATTATTCTCCGTTTACACTCATCCATTAAATTGAATCAGTTTTTTTTAAAACGTCCACTCATTTCATGGACTCCGATGAGGAATGTGCTGCTGCTTCCGCTGTAATTGCAATTGCTTTAAAAAACGTAAACATTTGCGCAAAAAACTAAATAGGCAAAACAGATCCATCCGGGTCGAGCCCTGGTTGACCCGAAGAAATGAGCTAGGAATTGATAGCCCGCTTTTGCAAGAACTTCGTCTGGAAAAAGGCGACGAGTATCTAATATCCCAAAGAGAGATTTCCTCTCTCCACAAATTAATGAACTCTTCCGTTTTTTTCAATTCCTTGACTCTAGTTGAACACGTCCAATTTTTTAAAAGGAAGTTTCACTTTGTCGAAACAGCTATTTTGACATCCAATTTTGCGTTTACACTGTCCATTTTCCATCATCAATTTAATCGAATCTATTTAAATGCATAGTGTATTTTAGCCTTAAGTTAAGAAGTAATTATGCGAGCGATTGCACCAAACAAAGCAAATGATTTTGCAGCAACAAATGTGAAACCAAAGTTACCTGTCAAAGTTCCACACCCACCCAGTCAAAATTTCAGCTCTTGCTATGCCACTTTGTAGTTATACAAATAAAAACCTTTAGACTTCAAACTAGAGAGCCCGATTGTACCTGTTCATCACCTTCAGTATTTTTCACTTTGTTCCTGTAATTTAATAATATAATCGCTTCAAAAAGGGACTTCAATTGGCAGGTATTTTTGGGAGGGCGAATGGTACGAAACTTCCGACTTACAATAAGGCAATTACAATATTCTAAAAAAAGTGTACTAAGCATTTACTAACGAACCTTAGCATTTTACGATTCTGCCCTTTCGTTTCTGAATTACGAGGATCTTCAAGAATATTGACACTAGCCTTGTGTAATATAATTCTCTATGTGAATAACATAACCGTTTACGACATAGATTGAAAATTACGACTGAAAATTACGACTGAAAATTACGATTGAAAATTACGATTTAGATTGAAAAATACGAATTAGATTATCCTACTAAAGCACTTTTGTAAAGCAGGCAAAATTAGCAATGTTATATTTCTTAGAAAATGCTTAATTTTGGGACAGCAACTATCTAAAATTTAAATTTTTGATCCTACTGATATTTTGAAGGATGCTTCCACCCGGATGCTTCGAATCCATATTTTTAAAGTAAATCATCCAACACCATTTTTGAAAATTAGTTTCCATTTGAAAAAGTTTGCAGTGATTAAAGTCACATCTTGTTAGATTAAATTGAAAGATAAGTGTGCTGAATAAGTTTGGCGCTAAGTATCATAA